GACTCTCGGCGGCCGTGAGGAAGCCCTCTCGGCCTCTGAGAGTGTACAACTCTCGGCTGGCAAGAGTTGTACACTCTCGGCTGGCGAGAGTTGTACACTCTCGGTTGCAGAGAGCTGTACACTCTCAGCAGCCGAGAGGGATTCCTCTCGGTTGCAGAGAGCTGTACACTCTCAGCAGCCAAGAAATCCCTCTCGGCTGCTGAGGGATTCCTCTCGGTTGCAGAGAGTGTACACTCTCAGCAGACGAGAGATCCCTCTCGGCCGTTGAGAGCATACACTCTCAGCGGCTGAGAGGAATCCCTCTCGGCCGTTGAGGGCATCTTCCCGGCGCCGACTCCTAACCCCCCTGGGGTTTGTGGCGGATCGACTCCCAAAAACCCCCGGGGGGTTTTTATTTTTTTCATTTTTTTTATTTTTTTTATATTTTTTTTATAAGGGGAACGACTCCCAAAAACTTTGAAGGTTTTGGAGGTCCGACTCCCATGGACGTCCGGAGGAGCGTCCACAGATGGTCCTCTCGACGTCCCAGAAATTTGGGAGTCGGAACTCCAATTTCTGGGAGTCGTTTAACTAAGACCCTTTGTTTATTCTTTTCTTTTTTTCATTTCACCTGCTAACTGATTCCCATACTTCTCTGTAAGAACTGTATGTATACTCACATCAGGATCTTGTGGGGGCTATTGGAAGAGAATGTCATTCCACAAGCTCCAGACATGAATACCTTGAAGGAATTTCAGCATTGCTTTTCTGAAATCAATCAAATTAAGGATGCCTCTGAAAATTTCCAGTCCCCCAAGCTAATTTTGGAGGGGGAAATCACCACCCTGCGCACTTTGACAGATGGACAGAAAATTATCTCAAAAAAAAAAATTGTTCATGTTGGAGATTTTTTTTCTATATACAAGTGCAACTCTAGTGCAGCTTGGTATTCAAACTTGGGCTCCTGATCTGGAAGATCCACCAGACTCATTGTACAGGGAGGCCTTTTTCATAGCTGCCATCAAGAGCTTCCGTCAAGTTGAAAACAACAGAGCTTATAAGTTTATGAATTGCAATATTTAATATGTCAATGACATGAATATCCTCATCGAAGCTTGCAATCATTATTTCTTCTTTGTTTCAAAGAACAAATACAACTGAGAGAAAAACAACCCAGGCTGTCTGAGGCAGGAAGCAGAGAGAAAAAAAAATTCCCATGCACGGGGACAAGTGAGTATTTTCTTCAAGTAGTGAGCTCATTTGCCATGTAGAGATACTGACATGTTAAGTTGTTTTTTTAAATCTTCAATCTATATGGGAAGATTTTGCTAGGGCTCATAACCTGCCCAATTGATACAAAAGAATTATCAAAAGCTTAGATGCCCACAGCAACAACAAATACAATGACCAAATGCTACATAATAAATAGTATTGCATTTCAATCAAAAAATGCAAATAAGTTCTTCCTTTGACTTGATGAAGAAATAGCAAAAGGGTGTGAAAGCCCCTGAGATCAACAACACATATGGAAGCTTCCAGACACACCTTAACCATCCATATTCTCAAAAGTACCCAAGAAACTAACTTTAGATTTTTACAATCCTGAGTGGTTTAACAACCAACTACCTGATTGCAAGTGCAAAGCAGCCAATATCTGGTCTGTGGCATTTCTCCGCAATGCTGAAAAATCACTATTGAAAGGCAGATGCTTCCAAACGCTAATCAGACAGCAAATTCAATAGCAAGTTCCTGAAAGAACTGCAGAAACCCTATGACCTCTTGCATGAGATAAACAATAACAATGATGAGGAAAATGAAACAGAGATCGATGATGATGACAATAGCCAGCGGTGGGCCGCTACATAAAGCCAGCGTAGCGGCGCTTTTTTTGTGCCAAAAAAATGTAGTGTTAGCGGGTTTTTAGCGGATTTTTGCTATGCCATGCTGCACTACAGGGCCAAAAAACTGCTAACCAGCGTGTTAGGATAGCTTAGTGGTCCCTTTTTTGGGGCCTATGTGCGTGGTGTTAGTGCAAGATGTGGCAGAATTCCGTTACACTATGCTAAAGTTTAGCGGAATTCTGCTACACTAACACTACGGTTAGTGTAACTGGCCCACCGTTGCAATAGCCATGATGGTGAGGTGGTTTTCTTGGGTAGCTCGGGTGATGGGTTGAATGAAGACAATCCAGACAACAAAAATATGGATGTTGTCAACACCAATGAACAGGTCAATAATCAAGGTGGCTTTGATGAACAATACAAGGATTTGGTGGATGAAGTGTCAGCTTGCTACTATGGCAGAGAAAACCTGTCATAGCAAATAAAAATAATAAATTACATGAAAAATCTAAGTATAAAGTAAAAATATTACATAAGTAAAAAGAAGAAACGCTGTTACTTATGTAAATAATATAAAGATACATAAAATAAATAAATGACTTATAAATTATAAAGAAATCTTTAATTATTATTGCAGATTCTGAATCTGCATACAATTGAATACCCCTAATTCTCACTCCTTCATCCTGCAATACACACATGAATAATTAACAGGTACCCTTAGACCATGGGCACTGGGATAATTATGTGTTATACATAATAATATGCAAATAATCCAAATCTTGTCATACATTTGGAGTGTTGTGTATAGTTTAGAAGATAGAGCAGTGTGGCGTGTACTGTCTCCAAGCCTGCGCACCACGTAGTCATGCTGTGCACTGTTGATAGGTGCGCCTGACTAAAATTGAGCCCTTTACTCAAGCCCCTGAGCGTGCTAGGTATTCATAACCCCCACCTGGGTTACCAGTATCCAAGAAATGGGCCACAAAGCCCCAGAAATCCACATTGCAGGTGCCAACAAAGCCCCCACACATGTAATAATATTATAAACAAGCTAGAATATTCATGAAAAACACCACAGTAACTCAGAATATTCTAGATTTCCAATTGGTAACACGTGTAGCAAGCCTCAGAAACCACCTCTTGAATATTCTGTGGCCCATTTCCAAGGAAATAGCTCCACATAACAAACTACCCCCTACCCACAGGTTCCCATGGGACATTCTTGGTTCAAATAATTTGGTGCATGACCCCTTGGAGCTTCTAGAATATTATCCCCAAGGTTTCAGCCCTTGTCACATCACCAGGTGGGCTAAAATGGGCCCAAAAGCACTCCCAAGTCCTACTAAGCTCCCCTGGGCAACCCCTAAGCCTTGCCACAGTTATTTAAAGGGCTAATTCTGACCGCCCATATGATAATCCCCCAGGTTTAGAATACCTTATAGAAATTTACTTACCATTTCTATTATTACTGTTATTCAGCCTCAAAACTCCCCAAGAAACTCCACAGTTATATCACCCAGCACCCAAAATCAAGCTTTCTGAGTGCTCCCAACTGTCCAGTTTCCACTCTGAAGATCCTCAAGACTATACAGGATTATTACTAGTAAGTAATAACCCTTTTCTTGAGATTTTCCCCTTAAATTCTTCCTGGGATTTAAACCAGACCTGTTCACAGGCCCCAGTGTTCCAGGTACCTATATCCTCTGCTTTTGGAGGATACCTCAGAGGGATTAAGCCCCCCCTGATTTATCAGGCCCCTCTGGTTTTATTCATATATAAATTTTATTAATCTAAATTGGCCAATTTTTTCTTATAATTTAAGCCATAAATTCCCCATTTTATTGGAATTTATTCCTTTAGAATTAAAGCCAAAAAAAATCCCATAAGCTTTTTTTGCTTACTTTTGCACCACATGTAGCTAGAAGATATTACATCTTGGCATCACGCAGGCTGACATGAAGAGAGAGAAGATGAAGAACGTGATCAGCGCTTCCAGATGATGGTTGATGAAGTAAACTGGTGATGGTATGCATCTTTGATTGTCTGTTTAAATGAACCAATACTAATTAAACATACTTTGACTTGGTAGGAAGTAAACAGCTCCCTTACTTCTGTGGTCTTTTTGATTCCAGTCTGAGATCTCTGCACTTTTTGTCATTTCAAACTACTCAAACAAGAAGATTAAACCTACTACAATGAATCATGATTACTGCTTCATATAATCATGAAATCTATTGTTTCCATTTTATCCATTGGGATGCTCATTAGAAACAATCCATTTTTGAAAAGAACAAACATAGCAATGATATATATGTAGTTTTGAATTTCAAAAAGGAAGGGGCTTAGTTCAGATGACTCTGATTTGAGTTGATGAGGAAGTGATCACAAGGGATAAAACTGAAACGAATTTTTTTTAATCAAAACTTATCCAAGCATTGTGAAGATTTTGCAAAAAAAAAGAAAAAAAAAACTAGGGATTTCGATTTGGCGGATTCAAATGAGAATTATGGTTGCCCATATACATCTTAGTCCTATCTTTGCCTATGTTTGCAGGTCTTGAATAAATCGCTCCAGACTTTGAGTCCCGTGCTGCACTTGCTGTCTTTTGATTGATTTGAAGTGAGATGCCTGCACGCATATTCGCCTTTGCTTCGCCTGGTGGTAAAGTACAATGTTCATAATCTTTTGCTCGCCAGACCATCTTGACCACTCCGTTCTGCTTTGAGAAATCGATTCCGCACCGGTAATTAGGGAATACAAAAGAGCCTCCAGAAACATTATCCGGATTACATCCCATCGCCAGTTTTCCATCAGCTCTTGAGATTGGGAAGAAGAGGCCGAATGCAAATTCAGAGATATCCCCCTTATCAGAATGTGGGGGATTGTAAAAATCGTCTCTTGTAAAACTAAGATTTGAAGCACAGTCATCTGGTTTAAGAGGAGCATCGAAGTCTAGAGCTGCGTGTGCGGGTATGTAGTCCTTGGCCATCAACTCCCGATTGTCTTGGAATGCTACATTTGCAAAACGTTTGAAGATCCGTCCAAGTATGTCCGATGAAGTCGAAGATTCTCGCATGAGTTTATCGTATTTATCCTGGGCATTGTCAATTGCATCTTGATCGCGGTACCTTCCAAGCAATTCGAGGGATTCCATTCCTTTCCTCCATCCCACCATCCGCATGTTTCCACCCCATGAGCGGGAAGGGCAGTTGATCTTATTCACAAAGTCCTTCGCTCCATTCAGAAAGGTGGCTACAGTGTTCAGCTCGGCTCGCTCAAGCTCCGACAAGCGCTCCAGAGGGGTGAATTCGATGAGGGCGATCACCTTCAGGTTGTTCTTTTTGTCGAGCAGAGCAACCTTTCCGTGATCGAAGTAGTAGATCAACTTGCGGGCTAACTGTTGCGCAGTTTCGATATCAGCCGGACTTGGCTTTTGGTTTGGTTTGAGGCGTGGATACAGATTTAGTGGTTGGAACCGCCTGTCTGACCAAGTAATTCCGCAATCTGGGCCTCTGGGGTCATCTTGAGGAAGCGCGGTGGTTTCATCAACTGTAACGGCAACCTCGGCAATTCTTTGATTTGCTTGCTTGGTGTTGAGTTTTTGTTTTTTACGCAACTTTTGGTAGCTCGCCATATCGGACATAATTTTCCAAATCTCAGAAGACCCTGTCCAGCCACATTGAATGATGAGAGATGAAGCAATGAAGTCATTAGCCTCAGATTGATTTAAAGGTTGTATTAAAAAAAAAAAACAAAAAAAACCGGGGACAGGAGTGACTTATACGATTGACTTCTTTTCTAACAACAACGAGTATGGGGATATAGCAATTGAAAGTTGGCTTGGTTGAGTTTTCAAATAGGCTGCAATCGACCAACAGTGCCGACTTCAGCTGAGGTTTACCGTTTATCGTTTATCAACTTGAGCTTAGTTGGGGCCTATGTGATACATACAAAATCGGATCCGGTTAGCACAAGACTCAGTCCTACTCAGTCATCAATCAAAGTGACTTACTGGGTAATCGTTAATAATCCGAGCGGTGATCGCAAAATGTTGATGTCGGAAGTTTCCCTGTAGAGTGGTCATGTCCGGCCCCCGGGGAGTAGGACTACGGCCCACGGGGAGTAGGACTACGGCCCACGGGGTGGTGGACCGCCTCATTTAAAGCCTGTCAGGCTTACAGTGCGCATCACCTCTTCTCGACTACCCCGCACCTGCAAAAAAAAATTTGAACTTTGATCTGTATGTTTGTTCACACCAACCATGCTACATGTGTAAACAATGCTTATTTGAGCTCTACAGAAGTAGTGGAACTCAAAAATATAAAGCAAGATTGTGTAGCATGCAAGACAAAAAAGTTTGAAATTTTCAAATTCAAAATTTGGAACACCCATGGAAAAAGGCCATACTATGGCCTAGTGGGTATGCAATATGCATTTATATGGTGTGTATTATGCACATAGACCATCCAAATACATGATATTGAGGGAAGAAGGAGAAAAAAAATAGGAAAACCCAGTGCCAGTTGTCCGGCTAACTTGCAGTCATAATTGAAACATCCATCATTGCAGCCCTTGGAATGCAACAATTAGATCTCATCAATGATTTCAATTGGCTGTTGCAAGCTTTTTGGTTTTTTTACATGACTGTGTTCTGATTGTGTCTCTTCTGCTGATAAGTATGGACAAAAATCTCAAAAAAATCAAATTCAAAGAAGAAAAAACAAAATGGCATTGAAAAAAAGTGAAAAAAATTCAAAAAAAATTCAACTCCCATTTTGAAAAATTTGGAACACCCTCCTGGGGGTAGTCCAGAAGAGGTGATGCGCACTGTACTTCAGCTATCAGCCGATCTGGGTGAGGGTGGCTTCCAGCTGAATGAGATGGGAGAGCCCATCGCGACCTTTGGTTGTTTACCCTCCCCCTTCGATCAGATTCAACTTCTTCAGCGAGCCGATTTTTCTTTTCTTGGACCGATACGATAAGGCCAACGACATCTTAAATATCTTGAAACTCTGGTCAGTTCAGTGAACCTTTAGCTATGTATCCTCTTCTCAAACAGCCAGACTGATTGTATCCTCATCTTATAAAATATTCGACACTCCAGGCGTGATTGGCTATCGTATTATAAGGATCGACGATCGAGGATGGCCGAACCCAGACCCAAGCATCAAATCGAACCGAGAAGCCACCCAATCTATCGTATCCTGTTGGATCTTGAATGTACGCTATTGGCTGGACGATCTTATCAGGCCATACGATTACGATTACGATTACGACCATGAGTGCAATCGATTTCAGATGTGCTCCGAGTCTGAGTCTGGACTCCCGAGGTCCGGATAACATCATCCTGGGTCAGATATAGCTCGGATTTGGCGATTGGGGCCTTGGTCATGAATTCCCGAGTGATGGGCATGGCTCCCAACAGCTCCCAAGCAACTTCAATACCAATCCATCTGAACGATCAAACAGACAATCCTCGATCCCAATTTTGTCTTCACAGCAAACCGAAGAACCTATCATCTTGCGCTCAGACACGGCGAGGTAGCCAATCAAATCTTAACAGTAGGTACCTGATTGTGATTTGTTCTAACTGAAAGCGAGCCCTTGAGAGGAATTACACTCTTATACTGATACATACATATGTTTAACTGGATCTTACAGGCGATCATTACGGGCTAGAAGGATCGCCAAGTTCTTAGACCCCAGAGTCCGAAGGTCTTTGAGCTCTCACTAGTCAGCGTGGATTTACTACGTCTACGGGTTGTTACTTGGCCGTACCAGTCTCGATTGTTGCAATCAGAACGGTAAGTTAATTCACTCATTCGACCTTGACTTTTCTACAAAGTTGTTTTCATCTTATTGCTTATTTACCTTTTATTTTTTCGATTACTTTATCACGCAACTGACGCAAATTGATGGAAACCTTCCAGGGCTATCCCATGATCGATTTTTTTTCGTAAGAGAAGTCCGGGCGGTAGTGACGACGGGAGACTTAATAATCATTCGGTTTGCAACTGTCACTTTTCCTGGTTGATTATGGGAGACTCACCGAGCAAGACTGAAGTCATCCCATTCTCTCCTCTTAATCTTAGTCTGGGTTCCTGTGGCAGCACGCTGGTACCTGAGATCCCGTTTGGAAGAGTGGTAGTCTGTTCAGGTAGCTTAGCCATCTGGACGAGAATTATGATTATTTTTTCAACTGTCAGATCAAGACAGGGAAACTTCGAATGGAACTCCGGCTGCATCACTGTATCTGATGAGCCGGCCGATTGGGTGTCACCAAACACTACATGATGCAGTGGGTACCCGATTCTTATATTGCAGTTGATTTTGAACACTTTATAATGACTAACACGTCCTGCGAGTTTTGGAGTAAATCACATCTGATAGTTAACCGAAAACTTAAGACTGTCGACCAAGGGCTTGTCTCATCGGGTGCATTGCATTTATCTGCAGATACATTCTATGCTGGACCTCGAGATCCTCGCTCAAATAGCCCTTTTACCATCGTTTACCTGCCATGTCTCCGCTCACTTCGCCCCCATCTTACCGGAACTAGCCTCGAGATGGATTTTATGTTTGGAATTTGAAGAAGGCGGTTAATATTCAGATCAAGTTTGCTCGTACTGGCCAGCTCAACCTGTCCAGAATGAATTGCTTCATTCCGAGCAAAGCCATCCATCATCTGCAAAGGAAAACATCAAGTCTAACCTCCGTTCGATCATCTTCGTCAATCTCACTTGGTGAATTTGAATCCGGTGCATGGCACACTCCTATCAAGCCTTCTCTGAGCATTCATTCTTGGGTTCGGTAACTACCCGGTCTCACGCAAGCCCGTGCCGACCTATCCCAAAGCCCATTCTGAATATGGGTACTTCCTAGGCTGGTCCGAAAGACGAGTATTGATGAAATTTTGGCTCAGCAGCATCATCAAAACCCAAACGGGCTACCGATTCGGGAGATCAGTTACCGGCTCGCTTGGATAATCTTAGCTGTTCAACCAACGAGTCCTTGGTTCGTCCTAACACCGCTACTGATTCAAGGGAGGGTCAGTATCGGGCGGGCCTCGATGGTTCAGGGGGTGAAAAGATGGCTGTTCAGACCACCCCACCCAGTTCTTCGATGTCGACAGCCAAGCCGGGGACGACAGAGGGGGCGGGGCCGTCGCAGCCGACGCCAAGCACGACGATGCCGACGACAACAAGGATCATGGCTGGGCCGCCGGAGGTTGAGTCGACGATCCAGCGGCTCTCCGAACACCGCAACGTCCGTGGAGTGATCATCCTTAATCGCGATGACGTCGTCATCCGCTCCTCCGGCCCGGTCTTCCAGGGCAGTGACGGCGTCATCGTGCTTCGTAGGTACGCTTCGGAGGCCAGGAAAATCGTCGACGCCGTCGGGAGCTCCGTCGATCGCATGGAACTCGACGTTCGTCCCACCCCCCCTTTACCTCTTCATTTTACCTTTTTTTTCGATCTCTCTCTGAATCCTTTGCACCTTATCTGACTTTTTTTTTTAAAACTCTTTCTCCAGGATCAATTGAGGTTTCTCAGAATCCGGACGCGAATTGCTCATCACCCCCGGTTTGTGCCGGCTTATTTATCATCAGAAAGGAAAGAACGTTGATCCTGAGAATCGCTCTAATCCTTTTGAATGGCAGAATAGATCTTAAATCACCCTGGTCGTCATTCAGGACCCGACAGAATGAATTCCCCCATTATCTCTTCATTGATAGCTCGGTTCTATATATTCCCCGAAAAGTGAGTCGATCTGCGCTCTCTTTTTCCCCTCATTGTTCCTTTGTTTCTGATAGAAAAAGAATGTGAATGCTAAGAAATGATTGGGACACTACAGTCGTACCATTTATTTGTAGTCGCAAGAGACAGCCAAGATAAACGCCGGAAAATTCACACACACACGCAGAGACATTGAGATGGGAAGGGCAGTGATCTCAGCGACGGTCGTTTTGAGGAGGGAATTTATCGACTGGTATTGATAAGGCCCACACAAAACCACCTGATTGTCTGCTCACCTCTTTGACGGCATCTTCTCTTCCCCCCTTCGTGGAATAAATCGGTTCTTGTGTATATAGATGACATGCATGTATTCTACGAATCTGAAAATTAAATTCAATTGAGTGCATTTCTTTTGGATTTCTATGTGTGCCACTCTCGTGTCAGTCTAACGCCACTACTGATGAAAGTCAAGGAGAGCCTAATTTTGAGAGTGTTTAGTTCTGAGTAAGAAGTTGATGTACAGTTTACTTAGGCCGCTTAATGTTTCTCAGAATTGTGTAATCTCGAGCATTGCTTTCCTGCGAGGAGGAGTGATACGTCGGTTGTCGTTTGGTCGGAGAGAGGAAGAATCGAAAGGCTTCAACTCGGGGAAACTGCAAGACTATCCTGTAGAAGTTTTACACATTTTCAAAAATATCTCTCAGCAGCAATCTTACAGCCGAGTCAAGCAAGCCCTTCTTCTACAAGCAGACAGTTTGAAAACAGGAAACGGCGGACACATACACGGCGAAGGAACATGTAAGTGGCCGCGGTTTCTTGGCTCCGCACGTATGACATGTAGGCTGCCTTTGTCAGACTGAGCCTGTTTACATGACCAGCAATTACACACTGGAAGTGCTGAGCCCACGAGCCCTGCTGCCACTGCTGCTGCTGGAGGCTCAGCAGCCACCGAAGGTTTATAAAAGGCCGATGGTTCCCCCCTCGACCAGTCTTTCCCCCAACTCCAGGACCTGCCAGGCGCATCCACCTTTCCCATCTTCTCCTCACCTTTTTCTTACTCCACCCAACAACAACCACCTTAAACTACTTGCTTCAATAATCATTAATCATGGACTATATACCTGATCCCAACGCGTTAGATTCTCCGGTAGAATTTTCTGCTGGCCCGTTCACTCCCCCAGGAACGCCACCCCCTCTTCCGGGTGTCTCCTTTACCCCCCCAGGAACTCCTCCATCTCTTGCTGATGGCTCCTCCACCCCCCAAGGACCTCCTCCACCTCTTGCTGCTGGCTCCTTCACTCCCCCGGGAACTCCACCTCCTCTTCCTGAAGTCTCCTTCACTCCCCCAGGAACTCCTCCTCCTCCTCCTCCTCCTCTTCCTCCTCTTCCTCCTTCCCACTTCGTCCCCATTCCCAACCCGGTAGTGTTTCCTGATGATGACGAGCCGATGGAGGGGCTTCCAGTTGAGGAAGCGTGGTGGCCACTCCCACCTCCTCTTCCTGAAGTCTCCTTCACTCCCCCAGGAACTCCTCCTCCTCTTCCTCCTCTTCCTCCTTCCCACTTCGTCCCCATTCCCAACCCGGTAGTGTTTCCTGATGATGACGAGCCGATGGAGGGGCTTCCAGTTGAGGAAGCGTGGCGGCCACTCACCGACCTCACCAAAAACTGTCAGCCGCAAATTGGAGCGGTTTTTCAGACTCTGGCTCCTCAAGATCAAGCAAAGATGACCCGTTTTTTGCGCAAGATGATGGAAGTTTTCCTCACACTCTTCCAAAACCGGCAGCGAGACAGACTCGATGCTAGAGAGAACTCTTACCTCCTCCGCGATCTGCCTCAAATTCGGCTTATCTTGCAAGCGAACGAGGAATCCGATGCGCAACTCTTGACCGCTCTGATCGACCACTGGATCTCTCTTATCCACGCCTTTTCCAACGCTCGGAGATCCCAGAGAGTTCAAGACCTGTTGGACCGTATGAAGAACCCACCCGCCCGCTCGGCTCGGCGTGCCCCCTCAGAATGCCCGATCTGCATGGAAATCCTCTCCGACAGCAGACACAGCAATGTTCGAGCACCTTGCCACCTTACCCATGTCTTCCATCGAAACTGCCTTCAAGTAAGCAAGCCCTTTATTTTTCTTTTTCTTTTTCTTTTAACACTCATTGCTGATTCCAATGATCCATTCTAGGAATGGTTGGAAGGCGAACTCAACTGTCCAATGTGCAGAGCCCCATTTGCTCTTCCTCGTAGACGCCGACAGAAAACCCTTGTCAGATTGGGCCGACACCGCAGAGCTTTTGATTTGTTGGTCTTGCTTTGTTGGGGCGTCTGAGTCCCTCCCCCTATGTCCCTATGCTTCTCTCTCCCCCTATGCAATCACAAATCCCATTTCATCTCATGTTTAAACGTCTCCTTTGACGTTCCTGAGCTCCCCTGTTGCGGCTCTGAGTGCAGTGCCCCCTTCAGTTTGTCAAAAAATATAAGCTGAGAAAAATTCCGGCTTGGCTGGAATTGCTTCCTTAGCATAAATCTATATTTATTTTTCAATCAAATGATCAGATGCCGTGATAAGAGCGTGAGATAAAAGATGATTAGACAAAGCCTTCCTGCTGCGCTAATAGTCACTATACTGCGAGCTACCTTATGGAGCAATCCAATATCAGTAGATAAAGAACACAAGTCATTCTATGATTCCCAAATGTGAAGTGATGTGGCCAGCGTGAGGCAGAGACTAACAACTCAACTCACCTGATCCTATTCACAATATTTGTAAAGGCAAACTTGAGAGTTAAGTAAAAAGCAATTGTTCAAATGACTGACAGCCACTCTAGTGTATTCATGAAATCACAAAGAGTTTGAAAAATCTATGGGATATAGTGAAAAAAGAAGAAATACTGCCAAAAGATCCTCAAAAGCTTCAAAAACTGTATTCAAAAATTTTCCATTTGATTGTGTCATTTTTGCAATGTCATCCAAATTAAACCAATTCTGAAGAGTCACTGTGAAATTTGAAGAGTGACTGCCCATTGACTTTTTGCTGAAGTCTCTGTTGAATCATTGAGTAACATCTGAGCAGAAACTCAATTTTTGTGAGACTTTCAGATCATCAATGGGCCAGTTGAACCAACTGTAGCATTAGTACAGTGGTGTTCTTCAGAAAATTTGCATAGTGTAGCAGAATTCCTCCTCATCTGTGATAACACTACACGTGTAGGCCCCAAAAAAAGTGTCTGCTACTCTGTGCTAACATGCTGGTTGGCGTTTTTTTGGCCCTGTAGCAGCTGCTAGCAGCTTTTAGCACATCATATAGTAGCGAAATCCCGCACTAACACTACACAATTTCTGCATAAAAAAGTGCTGCTATGTCAATGCTTTTTGGGCAAAAATTGTAGCTGCCCATTGTTGATCTGATTGTCAAATGGATTTAGTTTATTGAGATTTTGTCATGGTGCCGATATGATAGGTTGAATTTAGGAACCTGCTCAACCAACTCCCTGAAATTGGAACAGCAACTCCCAAATTTCAGTGACATCTACATGCTCCAGCCTCAATAACTGAAGACATCCCCAGGATCAATTCTGGGTCCCTATTCCCTCCAATCCTATCCCAAGATCTGGAATTCAATCCCCAAATTTACAGATTTACTCCAGCCTCTATTCAATTTCCACTTTCATTTGGGCTATGTGAGTAGGGTTGATGATGCCAATTGAAAGCCAATCAATTTTCACAAATTGAAATCCACAAATGGCTGGGTGAAAAACTGGCACCAAACTGGTGATGTCAACCCTATATGTGAGTGCAGATATTCCCCTCAGATAGGTTACAAGAATTGAAATCTTGATGAGATACTTCATGAAAAGAATCAAGCAAGGCTATCAGCCAATAAGAGTGTAGATCCAACTTCCAAGTGATCATAAGAGTGATATAGAGGTAAGAGCTGAAAATCCAAAATGTTTCCATCCTTCTCATGGCAAGTATTTTTATCATTCCCTGATTCTCAGCTGTACTACCACCTGTCAGTAATTTCTTCTTGTGTTTATGTTGACACAAAGCCCTAGATAGTAGAAAATGCCAAATCTTGGGGTTTACTACTACTTTTCTTGACACAATATACAGTTCTGTTTTTATTTTAAAATATTCATCATTCATTTTATTTGAAAGCATCACATGGTACCTTTTTATTGAGTCTTTTCAAAATAGCTAGCAATGTGCATGAAAGTAAACATTGGCTCTCTCTCTTTCTTTTGTCAGATTTTTGAAGCCACAATCAGCAAGAAAATCTAGGGGTAAGGATGAGTTGGGTTGACCAGCCTCTGATCTGGGTTGCATGCTGGTGAATATAGATCCAGATGTTTCAAATCCCTGGTTGCCCATGTTGGACTGGATTGGACTGTCCTCAAGATGGGCTACCCATGGATTGTCCCAATATCATGCTTAATCCTTTTCAATTACTCCTCAATTAAATGAACCCATTACCTGAATTTTCAATCAGAAAAAAGCTCCCACTAATCACTGACACAACCCCTCTCCCCCTCAGAAAAAGGTTTTTTTCCACTGATGCACCCCTCCCTCCTTGGCAAGATGAAGAAAAGTAGGAATTCAGAAGCCGGCCATGGGTTCAAAATTCAAATGCCCCAACTTTCCTTCCTTGGGTTTGGATGAGTCAGACCTTTTGAAAAATGCAAACCAACCCAACCTTCCCCATCTATTTCTGGGTTGGGGAGTGTAGGAATAATCAGTACAAGGGTCAACATGGGGGATGGCAATAGCACTGGATCTTGGACCTTTACCCAAGTGAGCATATTGGTGCCTAACACTCAGATATGGGCCACACAAAGCTTTCTGGGTCTCAAGAATGAGGTTCAATACAATTTTTATGGGCCCTTGACAATCTAATATGTAATTGGCAATACCCAACTACTAGAGGAGGAGGTTCAAGAAAGATACTACAAAATGAACTGCTTGGAAAAAAGCTTTCCAAGCTGCTCATTTTTTTTCTATTTTTTTGGAAATTTTATAAGTCATTAAAACTCCCCCTCTTTGACTGAATTTCAATTCCAAGTCTGGGTTCAAGTAATCCTACTACTAGAAAGATTTCCAAGGACTGTAACAGGTCATGGATCTATAAAACCATGCATATGTCCTTCATTCCAACATCACACAATCATCAGTTGATACAGTCAATCAAATCAAGTAAATATTCACTGTCAACACATGTTTGACTGTTTTTGTCATTATTTCCTTGGACATTTGCATTAGAAACTTATCTTCACCAATATGTATGTAATGTAAATAGGCGGCTAATCCTGTGAAGACTGGTTTCAATTCAACAGACATTCCGAAGCTCTACATCACAAGATATAATCCAATTATTAAAGTCCCATTCTATTCAAGAAAAATCATGCTGTGGACACCTTTTTTTGTAGTTTCAATGCTGATTTGCACATCCATTGATTCTATGCATGATCACTATTATTGGAGCCAATTGGATGAACCCCCAAAGTTAGATGAAATTCTCAGGCCCATCACAGAGTCTCAAGTTCCACCTTCCCATTGCAATAATCCAATGACCATGATGGCCACTCCATCTTCATCTAGCTCAACCATGGAATTGGGTGATCTACATTCAATAATCAATCCTATTTCCCTTCCAAGTAATACAGCTCCGGCAGATTCCATACCTCACTCAGATAATGTCCTCAATCACTGGGATAAATTTTGGGCTGGAGATGATGATTATATTCTTGGATTCTTGAATTCTTGGGAGGAAATGGAAGGGCTCAATTCAGAAATACTTCCTGATAGAATACCAAATACTGCTGGTTCATCATCACCCCCATCAATAGTTGCTCAGAACCACTTAAGTGCTCAGTTTGTTCCATCCCATGAAGTGGATCTAGTCAAAGAAACCATGGCTGACAATCAAAACTTGATCAACTCATCAGAAGTTCCTGAAAGAAGCACATCCATGAACTCAAAAACTTCAATGGTTGATTTTCCAGGTAATGAACAAAACTCGTGCTTGCTTCCTTCTTATCATGCTTTGGGAGCAGATTCAGCAACCTTGGAGGAGAATCTCACAAATGGTCCACCAAAAAGAAGAAAGATGCAACCCCCAGGTCATCCAGATGGTAACCACAAGCTTCAGAGAAAAGCTTTAAAGAAGAAAAGCCCTTCAGAAATATTTAAATACACCCCCATGATTTCTAGAACTCCTGAATCCAGCTGCAAAGCTCCACTCACAACACTTGAATTTGATCCAACAGTTTTTGGAATTGAAGGAGCTTCAGCTCTTGATGAATATAGAATCAAAGAACTCATCTCCATCATCACTGAAAGAGGTCCTGGTAATAGACTGATGATGATTGACATCATCAGGCCAGATTATGCATCCAAACTTTTCAGGAGAGCTGCTTCTCGTGGGCCTGGACAGAAGAATGAAGGCAACCCTCAAGCCAAGAATTTGTCGGGTTGGGGAAGAAAGAGAAGGAGAGAGAATTTAAGGACAAGAGCAATCCAAGAATTTTTCTCCAACATTCAGTCCTGGTCCAGATTTTATAAAGAGAAATCTGGGATTGAGTTCAATGATCCCCATCTCAAGTATCATGGGATGATCAAAACTGAGGAGCTTGAATTACACTACCTTTTATGCTTGTTTTATATAGATATGATTACTTCCATCATTGTTCTTCAGAGAGATCCAACGAATTCACATCTAGTAAGGATGAATAACAAGGATATAATCCGACTGGCAGCAATGAATTACAAGTCTTCTATCAAAGAGAGGATCTCTACTAGTACTGAAAGCTTGTTACTCGGAAAACAATCATTTTTGGATCTGGTTTGGGTGGAAGTTTCAGAGTGGTTTTATCTTCAAAGAGAGAGTTCACCATTCCATATTTTGTTGAACAATATACTCACTAAAAATTCTTCTTCACTCTTCTTTCATTCTATTTTTTGCTACTCTATCACCAATCTAAGTAAAAGAATTTCTGAAGAATACAAAGACCTTTGAAGTATAGATGTCATACAATCTATCTGTTGTTTTTTCAAATCATGCAATGTTTTCTTCATGCCTTCTTTTGAATAAGTTTGATTTTTACACTTTACATTTTCATTCAAAAAAACAGATTGGGTTTTGAATCTACACCCCCTTATACCTACAAAACATGCTGATCAAAACCCAAAGACTCAATTTTTTTTTCATGAGGTGGGGAGCCTTATAAGCTTGAAACTCTTCTAGAGATGTGTTGCTCATCTCTTCAGCAAGGAGGGCTATGTGATTGGAAGATGAGGAGGAGATCATCTTGAGCATGCGAGCTGAAAAGTTTGTGCAGACTGCATAGAATTCTGAGCAGATGTGGCAAAAGGTTCAAGATGACATCATCCACTTCCGCACTCCCCCCTTTTTTCCGAGGGCTTGAAGTGGATGCGTCATCCGCAGCACTGCATATATAAAGCAGCCCAACTGTAAACAACTTCTCCAAAAACCCAAAAACCAAAACCAACAACAACAACCAGAGGAAGAAGATGGCGTCCATCAACGGAGAAGAAGAGGAGCCGATCTACTCAAACGCATTCAAAGTAAGACCTCACAAGCAAACACTCATCATCATCATCATCATCAGGAACAGATCACTAACATTCAAAACAGTCACTTCATCCGAAGCAGGCTCATAGCATACTCCTTAATAGGATCAAACAATCCAAGACCTTCAACGACGAACTCCTAGAACACTTCAGGGAGAGGATCAACATAGAGGAACACTACAATAGAACACTCAGCAAACTATCAAAAAAACCACCATCAGACTCAGGCCGATTCAGATACGACCAGGATCACCATCAACCCCAGGATGACGAGGATAGCCATCAACAGATTCGAAAGATCTTACAGCAGGAACTCATCAGATCAATCGAATCACATTCGACCTACCAAAACCAGTTACAAGCAGAAGTCGAAGCAATACTCAGGAAGACCTTCGAGGACCATCAAACTCAACTCAAGACGATCGAGGAACAACTAAACAGATTGGTGAAAACCTACGAGGAAGCAGAACAGAAACTGAGCCGATCCAATCAAAGAATCCAATCTAGCACCAACAACAACAGTAGCAATAGCAACTCACGCAAGCTAGAAACACTGCAGAGCAAGCTAAACGAAGACCAACAAGCCTTCAACCAAACCAAGCAAACATGGGCTGAGCACTCCCATCAAGCCTTCAAGACGTTCCAATCCATCGACCAGCAACGGCTCCTGGGCCTGTTTGAGACGCTGACCAAGTTCGAAACCTGTCAGAGTGACCATCATCGCCAACAGATGGAAATCGCCGAGAAATCGACAATCAACTTACTCGCATTCGACCTCAATCAAGACATCCAACGCTTCGCTCTCCTCAACAGCCATCTCCGGTCCGAGCCTCCTTCTTCGCTCTCTTCCTCTGTTAATCATCATCAGATCAATCCTGCCCTCTCTGCTTCTACCTCCACCCCTGCTCCCGGTCACTCTCGTCAACCGACCCTCGAAGCTCATTCTCGTCAACCGACGATCGAACTCCACTCCCGCCAGCCGACTCTCGAATCTCACTCTCGTCAACCGACCATCGAACTCCATTCCCGTCAACCGACGCATTCCTCTCAATCACCAGCCCGAGTCTCCTCCGAGACACAGGAAGACGATCAAGAACAACTCCGTCCATCCGTTCGCTCTCCCTCCTTACGACCATCAGCCTTCACCACCCCCACTCTCCCATCTGCCTCTAGCCTTGGCCAACCTAACCGAATAGCTTACGATCCTAATCATCCCGAAATCCCTAAGCTCAATGCCCCCAACATCTCCATCCCTATCCGCTCTACCCCCGCCTCACCCGCCCACAAGTCCCAAAACGGCCTCCCTCCACGGACACTCTACGTCCAACCTCATCCCTGTCAGTTCCTCCTCCTTCTAATCTAGCTGGTCATATCACTGATCTCGTTTGTCTTGATGTATCCAGCTAGCGAGTCAATCTCCGCTGTTAACAGGAGCCGTCCTTCCGCCGATCTCGCCCTCTCAAACCGCTCGAACCTGCGTGAAACGCCCTCCAAGTCGATCGCCTCTGGCCCCTCAAAACCCGATAAGCTCTTCTCACGGGCCCGACTGGCCAACATGCTCTCGCGTAACGGAACCAACAACAATAGTGGTACCTCACCCGCGAGCCTCAAGCAATCCCAGCCACGACGGATGTCCCAGACCAACCTCTCGACGAGCCAACTCAACGAGCAATCGAACTCTGCCCAGCCGAAAGACCGCTCCCGCCATAGCAGGAGCTCGAGTGTGGTGGGCCCAGATTCGACCCATCGCAGCCCACCGCTTCCAACTATAATCCCAGAAAGTCCAGCACATAAGCTCGGATGGAGCTCCTCTCGTCTCGGCCAACTCTTGCCTGGAAAAGGTCCATTGCTCAAGAAGAAACTCTCCCAATCCAGTCGTCATTGGACGCCTTCCTCCAACAATAAGGACAAATTGGCAGCCTCTTCTCATAATAAGTCCTCCTCCCAAATCCCCAGAATCGATGCCGATGGATTCTCGATCCCTCCTGTACATCGTGATCGTCCACCCTGGGAACTTGATACGGATACTGAGGTCTTGTCTTTGGATATGACTGAAAGCTCTAGTCATCAACATCCTAACAACACCTCTCGAACCAAGTAAGTCTCTATATTATAAACACAGACACTCTCTGCTACGGTATATAGTCATTGATGATGCCCTTGAATGATGTAGTGGTCAGGAGCAGTCGGATCTTTCTGATCGGATGGGTAATACGACTCCCGGAGCAGGAGGGAAACACCAGTTCGCGATCAAGCCATCTCCGAGTCAGGAGCTGATGCAGCCATCAGACGAAGCGGCCCGCTTAGCGGCGATCCAGCGGGTGCAAAGCACCCTAGCGTCTTCGCCGGCAGGTCCGATGACAGGTTTGGTGAGCGGAACCCGGCGTTCGAATGCGGCGTTACGTGGTCGTAGGATGGATGGACGGGGTGTGACGATGTACGATGCCTCTCCGGTGCCCGCTGTTCCAGCCACTTCCCTCGTCCGCAGAGGCACTGTCTCCGATAAACCTAATCCGAGCACCGAGCCCATCGAGATCTTGCCCTCCTCAGCTGGCCCTGCTAGCGCTGATCATCCCGTCCCCGCTCGTCGGTCGACTCAGACTAGCTTCAGTCATCTTTACTCTTCCCCCGAACCACTCTCAACTACCCTGCCCAGTCCTCAACTTCAGCAACAGAATCCGAATGCTCAGATTCAGAAACTGGATCAATCGAGATCTAATAGCTTATCCTCGGCTATCTCTACCTCAAATCTCAATGGCTTCTTCAACCTTTCGCCTGCTTCTATCCCTCTCAATCTCGGAGGAGCTCCATCATCATCTGTCACTGGATTAACACCCACTTCAAGTTCTTCCAAGAACCCGTTCTTTAATATGTCCATCAACTCCATGCTTCTGTCTAACCCCCCTTCTTCTTCTGTTTCAACAACAACCAACCAACATCATCATCGTGTTGAAGAAACTGTCGATCCAGTCTCTATCAAACCGCTTGATCCTTCCCCTCATCCTACTCCTCCTTCTCAAACCTTTTTCGCAGTAACCGAGAAGCTTAACGTGCTCATGCACCAGGGCTCGGTTTCCAAACTAATGATCATCGGCGAAGTTTGTGTCCCTAAATCCTCGCTGATTCGGATCCTTGATGCGAAGAAATCTGGGAAGAAAGACGAAGAAGAAGAAGAGGATGGGGCTCGGTTCTTGGGTTTCAGTATCGATGGAATCAATCGCTTAGAGAAGATCGTGTATCCCCACGAATTGGTCCTTCCATCTAACTCTAAATCCTTATCAACTCCTACCACAACTGACTCAGAAACGGGAGAATATCGGCTAGATTTATCCCGACTACAATCTCTCTTTCTTTCCTCCTCCTCATCATCATCATCGACACCAGAAAACGAGGAAGAGGGGCTGTCGATCCTCAAATACCGGGTCTTGATCGACCACCATTCGCGGGCGCCAGACGACCCGCAACTTGTGCAGCAAGCGGCCCAACACGTGCCTCTGATCCTTGTGCCCAAGTGGAGATATCATCCTGACAAAACAGAGCTCGTCGTCCACTACCGCGAGTCTTTACTCTTCCGCGATTTTCATCAAGAGGAACCCGATCCATTTAAGGAGGGGGAGAGGAAGAAGAAAGAGATGCGATTGGAGGATCTGGAGGTGCAGACCTCGGTCTATTTCGATCATGCCACCAAGACTAAGGTCTGTCGCTCCGTCGACGAGGTCCAGTCCTTGCCGGCCGGCCAGTTCGAGCCTCAGACCAACTCGATTCGCTGGATGCTCGACCGCCATCTTCGACAGACTGGTAGTGATGATGATGATGATGGTGGGGGAGTTAGGGTGGACGGGTTGGAGGGCAAGTTGGTTTGTCGGTTCATCCACCAATCTGTGGTCGAGTCGAGCTCTCGTGGATCGGGGGGATCTGATGAAGATGGAGATGGAGAAGCTGCTGGGAATAACGGAGCGCTTGTCGGGCACCTTCATGAAGACTCAAACAGCTCCCCAACTTCTGCAACAACACTTGACAAGAAGAAGGAGAAGGAAAGGGAGACAAAGGTTCTGAGTCGCGAAGAGAGCGAGAAGGTCTGTGGACCCGTCGGCCTCACCTGGCGCTTAGACGGCGTTTATTTGTCCGGCATTGCCATTCGGTTCAACGCTCCTCAGGCCGACAATGGCGCTCATGCAGTTGATGCTCGGAGTGTGAAGGTTCCGGATGAGCAAAGGGTCAGGGTTAAGGCGGTTTGCTCGACCTTTTTGGCCCGCTGATCGGCTTCGTTCCTTCTTTTCTTTTCATTTTTTCATTTTTGTCTTTGAAGCAGTATCAGTATCATGCATTATTTACTTATTGATCGATTAGTAGCTTCATTTCCTTTTATTCATTTGGTTGGTCAGTTATTTTAATCACTTATTTTATTTAGTTATTTGAATCCGTTGTTTATTGGATTCTTTCTGTCGTTAATCGTTGAATTCATTAATCATTTGTCTGTTATGCCTTGTCAAGTCAAGTCGCCCTTCTGCTGTGCTTTATTTCTCAACCTTGCTGCCCCCCCCCCTTGTTTTTTGACATTTCATTTCGATTTGTGTTTTAAATTTTTGGACTGCTTTTTCTAGTTTATGGTAGTTGACAACAATCATGATCGTGGTTAATCTTTGTTTGTTTGCTTTTGTCCTGGCCTAGGCTCAATTGGCAATGTATTATAAGAGGCAGCAGGCAGAGAAGCATCGTTTTGAGGCGCTTCTCGGCTCGTTCCTGGTAAAGAATACATGCAACTTGCCTGAATCAGCAGCACTCCATCTTGTTGGATTTTGTTGCTTGTCCAGGCATCTCTTAAGTGCTTCATCACAACTTCACCAAGAGTCAATGTCCAAAAACCATAATGAACATCATGCGGTTTAAACTTGGCATTGTACATAGGAATCCTTCGGAAAACCATTTCTCAACTCTGCCAAAACGGCCTGCAAAGTTTCTTTTTTTTTTTCTTTCTTTCTTTCTTTCTTTCTTTCTTTCTTTTTTTTTTTTTTTCTTTTTTTTTTTTTTTTTGGAAAGCTGGAGTATTCTTCCAGTTAAAAGTGGATTGTGGATATGAATTGTGTGTGGAGATGATAAAAAAGAGTGTTTACATACATACAAAATACATAGCACATGGAAGCACAAGTTTTTAGGAAATATCTACCAAGACCGATCGTCATATTTTACAAGATACAAACTATGATTTCGAGTCTTGATCACGAGATGCTACGATGAGCCACCCGACCAAGGGCGCATTTTAGGGAAGCGCAGAGGAATCTGATTAAGCACTACGAGGGGGCCCGAGGGGCATCAGCGGCGGGGAGTCCGCCGGCGCCGAGTTTTGCGCCCGGCCCGGCGGAGCCGTGTGTTCCGCCGATCCCGCCGAGCTTAGAGCAACTCCAGCGGTCCGGGGGGCAACTCGCATGAGTTCCGCAGGCCGCGACCTCATGTCACAGAGGTCGCGGGTCAGTTCCAGTAATGGACTGGCAGTTCTCTTTGAGCATCTCCCTCAAGCCGCTACCTTTCTTTTCTTCTGGTGCTGCTGGTGTGCTGATCCTCCTCCGCCGGCAGCGGCTGGAGCTTCTCCACGCTTGCTCATCGGAGATTTGCCGCCCATCCCGCCAAGCTTGGCTTTGAGCTTGTCCTTCAAACCGCCGCCTTTCTTTTCTTCAGGTGCTGCTGCTGGTGATCCTCCTCCGCCGGAAGCGGACGGAGCTTCCCCTCGCTTGCTCATCGGAGATTTGCCGCCCATCCCGCCAAGTTTTGCTTTGAGCTTGTCCTTCAAACCGTCGCCTTTCTTTTCTTCAGGTGCTGCTGGTGGTGATGCTCCGCCGGCAGCGGCTGGAGCTTCCCCTCGCTTGCTCATCGGAGATTTGCCGCCCATCCCGCCAAGCTTGGCTTTGAGCTTGTCCTTCAAACCGCCGCCTTTCTTTTCTTCAGGTGCTGCTGGTGGTGGTGGTGAGACTCCGCCGCCGGCGCCGCCTGGAGCCCCCCCTCGCTTCATCTTTGGCGGCCTCTTCCCACCGGCCTGAGTAGTACTATTCCCAGCTCCGGAGGCACCAGGAGAGCTTGGATTGACTTTAGGTCTTTCCGCCGGGGATTTTGAATCTTCTGGAGTTTTGCTCTGGCCACTTCCAGGTGGTTTCTGATTCTTTGGTGGTTCTGGTGTCTTGGAATTTCCGGCAGGTGGAGCGGCAGCTGGCTTGGGCTTTTTCGGATCAGCGTTGGCATTCTTTCCGTTTGGCGCGTTCGAAGGACTTGGCGGTGACCTGGTGAGATTCAAGAGGAACGTTTATGTGACACGGTCAGAGACAATACTTCTGCTTTTTATTATGCTATCATGATTCGCGAGTTGAGCCCGCTCCAATGCAGTAAGGCACTTACCCTGGAGTCTTGGGATTTCCGCCAGGGGGATTGGGACCTGGCTTGGTTTTTTTTGGATCGGTGTTGGCATTCACGCCGTTCGCCGCGTTCGAAGGGGCTGCGGGTACACTGGTTAGTGTCAAAAAAGGAGAAGCAACACAGTCAGAAAAAAAAATTCGTGGTAGTATGCCACAAGGATTGTCCTAAGACTCGCTAGAGATTCAAAGCACTCACTTGTTTGGGTTGGCCACCCCGTTGGCTCTGATGTCAAGGCTAGCTTGAATTTTCATGCAGGTCGAAGCAAAAACGACAATCGAAATAAGTTGAGCAAGTTTTAAAGAAACCATGGTGATAATCTGACTTTGGTCGAGTTTGTGTTTTGGTTGAATTCGCAAAGACTTGCTATATGTTACAAGAAGAAGAAGAGAGAGCGGAGAAGAAAGATGTGGTTTTGCTGATGTTGAAAGCCCGGCTTTATAAACAAACTATAAGAAACAATAAACACTTGGTATTCGAATTTAATACTGGTATATATAGACAGTGGAAGGAAGTGGAATGGGGTGAGGGATGGAGACGTTGGATGGTAATTAGCAACTCTTTAAATAGAAAAATTATAATCGGAGTCCGTTCTTTTGGCCGGCCGGCCATAAGCATCAGAATAATACGCGTCACTCCCCGGAGTCTTCGCCCTGTCAGCCAACATGAGTCCTTCCGTTACTGAACAGGGGTCGTGAAGATACGCCCAGGCATTGGTCATGTTCGCAGGTGTCAAGGCCCTATTGGAGTTGAACATCAGCTTCTATTGCCAGTTATTTGGTCGGTAATGGTGCCTAGCTCGGGCCCGTCATCGTGTGCGTATCGTTGAACTTAGAGTAACAAGAGGGTTGAAGGAGGCAAGTTGCAACTGAGCACTCATCCCAAGGGCAGTCACCCGATGGGTTTTCACAACCGTACCTCCAGTCCGCTCGAGAAGGACCAAGGGACCCTTTATGAAGGATACTCCACAATCACGGCTCTTGTTGTGCCGAAAATGGAAAGAGTCGCGATGACATCCCCCCACCCCAAGTTCGGCCTGAACCAACACACACCTTCCTTACTGCCATCCATCTTGCTGACTGACCCTTATGTCATTTAAAGTAGAGGGTTAGTTAAACGACTCCCAAAAAATGGAGAGCCGACTCCCAACCCCCGCAATCCCCGAATTTTGGGAGTCGAACCCCCAAAACCTTTGATTGGTTTGGGAGTCGACTCCCTAAGAAAAATAATAATAAAAAATAAAAATCCCCGGTCGAATACCCAGGGCAGCGGCCGGGAAAATTCCTCCCGGCCGCTGAGGTACACTCTCAACGGCTGGGAGTTGACCCCTCGGCCATGAGAGTGTACACCTCAATGGCCGAGAGGAATCCTCTCGGCCATCAAGGGTACATATACACTGTCAACGGCCGATGGAAACTGCCTCGGCCGTTGAGGTGTACACACCTCAGCAACCGAGACGGTTCCCCTCGGCGTTGAGG